AGCATGATCTTCTAAGTCAAAAATTCTGCTGAGACACCTACAGTGTGTTTAAATTTTTTGCTTTAATTCAGGAAGAGAGAGATGTTTGGATGACAAAACCATCCCTTTGCCTAGCACACGATGTTCAGGTGGAAGCTGGCAGCTGCCCGGTCACACATCACTTACTGCTGGTTGGATGCAGCTGCTGGGCTTGGGGTGCTTCCGTGCCAACTGTAAACAGACACCGTGCTGATTAAAGTGACAACTGCAGTTGCGTTATGCCTTTGTCAGTCACCTCTGGAGTCTGAACATTCTGTCACTGCAGTGGGTTTTGTAAAACTATTTTTTTATTGTAAGTGAAAACATTCAAACAGAACAGAAATCTGCACAGTAAGTCGTGCCCGCCTCACACTCCCAGGGCAACCACCGTGAACAGTTTACCGCTTTCTAGAGATTTCTCTATGCCCAGATGTGCACACGTACAGTCACGCACACATGCACAGGTATGTAGTTTGGCTTTCTTTTTGTAAGATTGGCATTCCACACCAGAGTGCCTCCTGGGGGTTCTCCTGCTTCTGTTGTAGGTGCCCCTTACTGTTTCATTAGCGTTCTCTTCTATTTGGTAACACACACATAATATAAACTTCACCATTTTAAGTGTGCAGTTCAGCCGCATTGAGTACATTCACACCGCTGTGCAGCTATCACCACCATCCGTCTCCAGAACCTTTTATCTTCCTAAACTGAGCCCTGCATGTGTTCAACACCAATTCTCCGTCCCCTCCCCCAAGCCCCTGGCAACCCCCGTTCTCCGTCTCCATGGATTTGACAACCCTGGGTACTTCTCGCAGGTGGAAACACACAGTGTTTGTGATTTCGTGTCGGCTTACTTAGCACAATGCTTCAGTGCGTCCAAGTCCTAACCCCCAAGGTGATGGTATTTGGGGTCTCCAGAACCTTTTATCTTCCTAAACTGAGCCCTGCATGTGTTCAACACCAATTCTCCGTCCCCTCCCCCAAGCCCCTGGCAACCCCCATTCTCCGTCTCCATGGATTTGACAACCCTGGGTACTTCTCGCAGGTGGAAACACACAGTGTTTGTGATTTCGTGTCAGCTTACTTAGCACAATGCTTCAGTGCGTCCAAGTCCTAACCCCCAAGGTGATGGTATTTGGGAGGTGATTGGGTCATGAGGGTGGAGCCATGGTGAATGGCACTAGTGCCAGGGGAGCTCTTCGGCCCCTGCCATCCTGCGAGGACGCAGCCAGCAGGGGCCGTCCAGCAGCCAGGAATGAGCCCTTAACAGGCACCGCATCTGCCTTGATCTTTGACTTCCAGCCTCCAGAGCCGTGAGAAACCCGTTGGTAAGTCCCCAGTCTGAGGTATTCTGTTCACAGCCGCCTGGGCATACTCAGATGCTGTGTCCTCAGGGTTCACCTGTGTCCTAGTGGCTGTCAGAATTTCATGTCTTCTCATCACTGAATGGCGTTCTCAGGCGCTCTCTAACGGCCCTGACGTCTGTGCTGTGCACCTGTCATGGTTTGCTTGTTCCTGCGGCGCAGGAGTCCAGCTGCCCTGCACTGACCCTGCGCTCTGCTGCAGCACCCACAGTTTGGTGACGTGAGCCTCGTGCACGTGAGGACACGGGCTGGAGGCAGGGCGCAGGGTGGGCACTCGCTGGGCTGCAGGAGTCCTTGGCGCTGCGTGCATCTGAGCCCTCGGATGTCCGCTTAAAATTCCCAGAGCTGCAGGCGAGGGCAGCGCATGGGGGCAGGAGCCATCCACGCTGCACGCAGGAGGAGACAAAGCTTTGCTGAATTCCTGAGTGATGAGACTGAGAAGGAAAAGAAATTCCAGAAGCTTAAGTCCCTCCCCAAGATGCCTGGAGGTTGGAGCTGGAAGTGAATAGGCGGAAGCTAAATGAGTGCGGAAAGTAGCTGTGGAAAAGATCACTGTCACCTTCAACATTAGCAAGGGCATCCCAGCAACATACGGCGGTGAGAAGTCCTCACAGGGACAGAGGTTGAAGGATGGGAGCCTGAGATGACATCAACTCCCAGTTTTGTGTTTGAAGTTATAAAGAACGGTGCCAAGGGGGCACTGGCGCTGGACTGTCCCTGCCCAGAGGATGAGGCTACACAAGAGCAGGTGGCTGAGAGTGACGTTCTCTCCATCGTGGAAGTTTACTTTCCGTGCACTGGTGAGTGCATGGAAGGGCACCAGTTATACACTCAACACCGCGTCCCTGGGCCGGGCCTGGTGTGGATCTCCTAATGGATCTCCTTGAAGACAGAGGGGTGGACGACACTTTTTCAGGTGAGTAGGTGGAGCTCAGCACAGCTCTGGTGCACCAGGAGTTCATGACTTCTTGAAAACCTCAGAAGTTTTGTTCAGAGCCAGTAGGGCAGACAGATGGTGAAAGCCTTGATTTTATGGTAGGATTGGCCAGTGAACAAAACCCACTCTGAAGTCAGACACAAGTGCTTTCAAGTGGCTACCGTCCGACCGTCACAGAAAAAAATGCCAAACTTAAGTGATGTCTATTGCACTCACTTACTGTTGCTTTTTCTGTACAAATCCATTCTAGATTTTTGTATAATGATGGACAATAACATGGGTTTATCTCCAAGAAAATAAAATTTCTGGAGCTGGACCAAACCTGAGGGAGGCACTGGAATCCCCATCTTCACAGGAGTACTCAGTGGGTGAAGGGCCCTATCAGAAACACAGACACACGAACAGCAGCTGTCCCGCTTAGCGCCATATGCTGCATGAGGTTTGCAGATCTAGAACACAGAAGCAGCTGGAGAGCCGCCATGAGATGCCCCACTCTGGGAGCTTCCTTTGGTGGCTTTAGACTCCGGGAGGGTGGGGCGGCCCTGTCCCCTGGATCACTGAGCAGCATCAGACACCTAGCAGGGCTCAGGGAAACAGGGTGCACTCATGACAGGAAGCCAACTCCCCCACCCCCAAACATCTGCCTTATTCTTACCTCACAGCCTGGCTCAGAGCGTTGAACCGTCCATTTCAAAATCAGTTCTCCAGCAAGTGTCCTGGGAGAATCTGTGCAAGTCCTGTCGCCTGGGGCAAAGATGTCCTACAGCCTGGGGGGCCTCACAGGTGGAAGGGGTACAGTCACTGCCTGGTCTTGGGCTCCCAACCCTCAGAGCCACTGAGGTGTGATGCTGGCACATGCAGGTTAACAGGCCTGGGGCCGGGCTGCCACGAGCCCCCCACCCACACGCTCTGTGGAGGGCCCCATCCACCAGGAGACTCAGCCCTACAAACCAGGGCAGCGCTCTGCTCATGGGAAGGGGTTGAGGGCCTGACTGGGATGCCACGGAACCCCAGAATCCTCGGGAGTCTCACTCTCCTGCCCTACCCCACCATGCTCAACTGGAAGCTAAGAAACGGCCCAACACTGACCCTGCATCCTAGTGCATCTCAGGTCTGAACCTAGTTACCTGGTTCCAGAATGTGGCAGGGGCAGGAGCCCACCTCTCAGGCCGATGGATCAGACTTCTTTATGCTTCATACTGGCCCCAGGGCTTGGGGGAGTTTGGGGACAGCACAGTGCTGGGAGACTGTCAGGTGTGGCTGCCCCAGGAGGGGGACCCCAGACCCCAGAGCAAAACTTTTGCTCACTCGAGTTAATTGACCTTTGGCCCCATAACTGTTGGGGGGGGCGGGGTTCATTTGTTTTTGAAGCTGAAATTTTCCTTTTCATCTATCTCTATAAAACTTGCTTTCCCTTGTATATTTGCATTAAAAAGATGAACCGTTGGGGGACATACATGCTCTCTCCTCTTAAAGGTTGCGGTAGAAACTGCTCAGATACAGCCCTCACCCTGGGTGGAGTCGGGAGCAGCTTCATGCAAAGCAACCTACCTGTGGCCCTGCAGACCACACGATGAGTCCCCCAGGCAGCTACCCAACTTCTGCCCTGCTTTTGTGGCCAGCCTGGAGCTGTGTGTCCAGTGTGCTGCTGCGAGCTCATCATCAGGATGGGCTTCCAGGGCCAAACAGGACGACATGGAAATGCCTGTTTTGTTCAGATTTTTTGCTGTGGTTTTGTCATTCATATATGGACATTTCCAGACCTTTCCCACCAGCTACCAGGCTTCTAAGCTCTTAATGTTACCACAGGGCTGAGCCTATGGCGACTGCACTGGCTACACAGCCCCACGACCAGTTGGCATGAGGTGGGAATGGTGGGCCCTGAGGGGACAGAGCCTGGCATGGGCTGCCCTGTCTGGGCGCCAGCTGGGGGTCTCCCCCTGGACAGGTGAGCAGGGCCGCCCTGGGGGGTGAGGCCGGAGGGCAGGAGGGGTCCTGGCATGGGCTGCCCTGTCTGGGCTCCAGCTGGGCGTCTCCCCCTGGACAGGTGAGCAGGGCCGCCCTGGGGGGTGAGGCCGGAGGGCAGGAGGGGTGGGAGCAGGCCCTCAGGGCCAGCTGTGGCTGGGCAAGAGCCCGCCTGCAGGTTGGACAGTGAGGTTTGGTGGTGGGTCCTTAACCTGGGATGTGGCCAGGCCAGTGTAGCATGGGCACCACTGGCATCTATCCTCCAGCCTGAGTGCGGGAGCTGGGGACTGGAGAGAGCAAACACAGGGCTGAAGGCCGAGGCCACAGGGCACAGAGCCTCCTGTGTCAGTCAGCTGTTGCTGCCAACAAACTGTCCCTACCTTAGCGGCTTCCCATGCCCATCACTGGTTATAACTCTCACGGCTTCTGTGGATCAGGAATTCAGACAGGGCACCGCAGTCAGCTTGTCTCCTTCCATGAGGGGCATCTGGGCCTTCGGCTGGAAGACTCCAGGGCTGAGGCACCTGGTCTGCAGGACTGCTGGCCAGTCTGTGCTTGACGCTGGCCATCAGCTGGCCCCAGCTGGGCTCTGCTCCTGCCCTGAGCTTCCTGCCAGTATGGGCCTGGGTTCCAAAGGTCAGCAAGGAAGAGGGAATCAGGGGACTCCTGGCTGCCTGCTGTGACCTCACCTCAGAAGCCATGTAGCAAGGCAGTCACAGATGTCCACAGTGCTTCCGGGAAGGGAGCAGACCCCCCGCCAGCACCTGTCTGGAGGAGTGGGCATCTCCTCCCAGAACCACCCTGAGCAGGGAAAGCAGGGTGTGGTTGGTGGTCCTGGCTCTGAAGGGGGTAGCCAGGGGGCTTCCCAGATCCCAGGCCTCTAGGGGGCCAGCAGCAGGGGGTGAGGGAGACTTGGAGGGTGGGCTGGAGCCCTGGATACATTTCCCAACCTCCCAATTCTGGACACCCAGTGTTGGGGTCCTGGGGTGGGAGAGGATGGAGGGACCAGAAGGTTCTGTCCTAAAGAGAACAGGCAGCTGGAGCCCTGGAGTCAAAGGTCAGGACACTGCTGTTCTGGACAGGGGGCTTCACAGCAGGCTGACCTGGGGCGATAGGGTGGACGACCCCTAGGTGTTCCCACACTCCACCCATTCCCACCCCCTGCCTTAGCGTGGAGGCTGGGCCTGCCGGCCCTCCTGGGTCGCCTTGGGCAGGCCCATGGGTGTCCTCCCTGCTCCGGGCAGCGTCAAGGAACTCAGCTGAAGGACTGCGTCTGCGCTGCCCATCCCGAGACATCAGGGACCAGGTGGGTTCCGTGTGCTCTGCGAAGTCTGGGACCACCAGGACGTGGCTGGAGGGCAGAGACCCTGGCGAGGGGAGGCCGCAGGGGGCGGCGGCTGAATCCCCTCGGCCTGAGGGAGCTCCAGGTGGATGGGCTGGGGAGGGGCACTGGGGAGCCCCCAACCTC